AGGGGGCGGGGGCCGGCGGAGACAAGGGCGGAGACCGCCCGCCAGGGCCCGTGCAGGGAGGGGGCGGTTGCACCCCACTCAGGCCCCGCTTCGCTCCGCCGCTGCCCCACTCGCGAGGGCCTAGAACGGGCAATGAACTTGGCTGCCCTCTGAGAAACCCCTTCCCCCAACACACTTCAGTCTGCAGATCCGGCGCCCAGGCTTGAGAAGGGCGCGCGCCCGCCCGCCTTGGCGGGTTTGCGCCTGGGTGGTTCCCGGGTGCCCGGCCCGCGGCTTGTTTACGAGCATCACATTAGTCACCGGTGAGCTCTGGATCGATAGCCGCTTCGTGCCCCTTCCTGGAAGGAGAGCCGGGATGCGGGAGGGAGTGCGGGTGCGGCGCCCCCAACCCCAGGCCGCGCAGGGTCCCACACGCTCAGGGGCGCCCTTCCTCCGCACCCGGTCGTGGGCCCTTTCCGGGGCGTCATCAGCGCCATTCACTTGTCAGGTTCTCGGGAAGTTGAAATCGTCTGTTGGGGATGTAATGGGAGAAAGAAGGACGAGCAGGAGTAGAAAACTGCAGTTTCCACAGTGGCGGGCAGAGGGCGGGCTCCGGCAAACAGCCCCGGGAGCCGGGTCCCCGCGGCGGCTGCCGTCCTCCCGGCAGACCCTCCGCACCGCGCGGAGGCGCCGGAGCGGGAGGCGCAGGAGCGGGCGTCGCCGGACCTGCTCGCCCTCAGCCGGCGGTGGTTGCCGCGCGGAGGATGCCCTTGAAGAAGAGCTTCGAATTGTTACACCTACGTGGCTTTTGTGACTTTCAATGTCACATACAAATAGGACCCACCGTACAAGCAATCACATCTCCTAAACGACCGTGAGGGCTGCCGGTGAGGGTCGGGGTCCCCGAGTTCGGATCTGAGCAGGCTCCGGATCCTGCGGAAACTAGCCCTTGTCTTTTTTTTTTTTAAATGCACCTGTGTCTTCATGAAATAATTTGAAACAATAATGTTGGCTATTTTTTATTAAACCCTGGAAGTTTGTCTTTGAATGTTCTCTATACTTTATAAAAGCATTTTAAATACAATGAAGTCAAACTTAAGAAAAATAATTTAAGATTGTAATTTTTGAAAGGATGATATATATATTTTAACATGTTTGTAAAAATGTGACAAAATATTACTAGTTAATTTTATGGGCCAAGAGACCCCCACTTACAGTTCCTAACATTTTGTTTCGTTGTGTATGCAAGTCATGATTATTGATGAGTAACAAACAGAATAATCAATGACACAAGTAGCATCATAGAATTTGCCTCAAAGAGGTACATTTAAAGTCGAGTCTTCATTTTAAAGCATGCTTTAAAAATTAATACCGCTAGGAGTGCCGTTTTAAGTGTGTGTACCTGTGTGTGTTTCTATGTGTGGGCGTGGGTGTGCGCATGCACGTGTGTGTGTGTGTGTGTGTGATTGTGTGTATGTTGGGGGCACCACCCTTGTGGACACTACCTGGTTTTCTGTCCTTTTTAGCTCTCGTTGCCCTTTTTTATGGTAACAGATGTTGCCTGCTCAGAAAGGAGGGATGAAGGCATTCTCATCTGGAAGCTGGAGCAAACGGAGCCCACTTTCATTAGTCAGTGCTGATTTACAGCAGGGGGACTACCTGTGTGTTCAGTAACCCTGCCTAGCAGAGAACGATGGTGGGGCAACCTCTTTGCAGCATCATGTGACAATCATTTCTTCTGAGAAAGTATCTTTTCTTTTTGATTTTGGCTTTTCCTACACAATTAAGTTTTCAAATGTTCATTGAATATTTACTGTACCCATCGGATGTTAACAGGTCCATCTTGGGTTGGTCTGGTCCTTCCCTCAGAGCTGGTGGGTGTTCAATGCCAGGGTTCAAGTTGAGGTGTTGGAAGCTGTCCGTCGGCAGTTGGCACTGTCCCCGCTACTACTGCCCCGTCACTGGTTGGGGCGGACAAGGTAGAGTGAAGCGTTATCACCTGTATGGGAGGTGTTCTTATACAGTAAGGTCACACAGATCTGCAGCAAAACTGCAAACTAATTGTCATTCTGAGGTCCTAGAACCTCTGACTACAAGTGTGGGGGAGTACAGTTTCCATTCTCATTAAGAAGTCAGTCCATGAAGCCAGCAGAAAAGAACTCTGAAATTAGAAGTAGCCCAGTCTTCTTCCTCAACGAAGGAACTGGTTGTCTTTCTCCCTTTGAGGGGCCAAATAAACGATTTATTTATGTAAAGCTGGTTTGACACCTTGTGATTTTCCAACTGTTCTCCCATACTTTTGCAGCAAAAGTCAGCTAATAACATCTGCCAGCCTCCTCTCTGCACTGAGCTGGGTGCTACTTTTGTGGCCGGTTGCCAGCAAGAGCCTGGATGAAATATTTTCTCATGGACCAAGATCTTGTGTTGGAAGTTCTCTTTCCTTTCATGGATAACAAAATAGCTGTATCTTTTAGCAAGGAGTGTTTTTTGTTTGTTTGTTTGTTTGTTTTTTAACATAGAATCTTACACAATGATTCTTTTACTAAAACAAAAACTCCTTTCTGGAATAATTTATACCTTTTATAAAGTAATCAATTTCCTAAAAATGTAGATACTAAAAGTGTATCATCAATACATAATACAAATAATAGTAATGCAAATAATAGTAATAATAATAGTGACCGTCATTCATTCTCTCCCCTGTTTCATAGAAGAAAGGTATGTATAGGAGGAAAAAGTAGGTAGCATTCCAGTGCTTGAGAGTCCCCCGCCCCCGCCTTTTTAATTCTTAACCCTACATCAGTTTGACAGTATTTTCTATCTGATGACTGTCATCTACAAACTGACTACGCAGATCATTAAATTGAAATATTATATAGCCAGTTAGAATAGCTTTAATTTAAAATGTATTTTAGCAGTAGAGATTTAAATGTCAGACGTTTATGTCGTAGTCTTTGAAAAGAATGGCAACATTTCATGAGTTTTGCCGTACTAAGTAAAGTGTTTCAGCTGCTCATTTAATAAATATCCCTTTCTGTGATGAATGAACCCTGCAGATGACTTCCTATCTAGGGTCCATACAGGGACTTACTGCACTTGAGTAGCTAGTTGGGCTTTTTTTCCTCCCTCGCAAGTATATTGCTAATATGTTTCAACTGAAATTTCACAAGGATTTTGTAACCCGCCAGCTCTGTGCAACAGGATAATTCACACGCGGGAACGCAGTTGCTGTCGGACTGTTCACTTGTGATGCGCTCACGTAGATTGTGTCAATTAGAAGTTATAAAGGCTTTCCACCTCAAGATTTATTTTGCTCATTAAAAATGCTGATGTATTTTACATAATCCTTTTCTTAAGTACTCATTTGGGGAAGAGGGATTTTCCAAACTAAATGATTTCTCATTTGTGTTTATGCTAGAGCAAACTACTGTAACACTTAAAATAAAAATTATTC